CCCCCTTGGCCGACACCTGCCGGCAGTGGGGGAGGTGGGGGGGGCGCAGCTCCCATGGGCGGCGGAGGGACTGGGGGGGGTGGCGGAGGTGGGGGACCCCCGGACGAAGTGGGGATCACAGCAGCGCCACTGGGATGACCAGGTGGAAGTGCTGGGCCTGAAATGCAGAGAATATGAATTACACTTGAGGTACAATCTCCTCTAGCCTGTACGCTAGGTCATGTTTCTGCTCCCAGGGCCATGACGTGACCGCATGATGAGTGATCAATGCAAGGAAGCACCAAGAATGCAGAAGAATGGAAAACGGTGGCTGCATCAGTGGTCAATCAGCTACAGTTGAGTCCTCCTGCAACACCCGGTCACATAAACTAGCTTTCTCCCACCTCTTCTCCCTGGCTGAGCTAGTGTTTTATTCTGTGCTGAAGTCAAAACACGGACAACACTTCCCAATTCATAAGTGGCATCTCCTGCTTGTCTCATAGCTTTCTACATGGAGATAATAAACTACATCAACCGATTCCTTGAACTTATTGTTAACATCAGTTTTTCACCAGAATCGTGGACTACAGCGACACATCCTCCTTTCTGTTAACATAAGGTGTATGGCCTCAGCCAGTCTTGCAAAATAACAGGGGAGACTCCAGCTCCAAGCAACCTGAGGTTCAGCAAAGCTCCTCAAGCAGCAGCCTGTTGGAGGGGCTGGTGGTGGGTAACTCCATTGCACTGTTATGCCTGTCTCTAACAGGTCAATTGAACAAATACACCTGCCCAAGGGTATTTCTCCACATTATGTTCTCTCAGAACAGGCTGCTCCTGATATGTAATCACAGGTTCAGTTGTTCAGTAAGTGTTATTTTGAAAGACAGGCAGGTTTTGACTGAGAAACATTTGGAAACAGTATTTAACATCAACAGCCTGTTTTTCTTCTTATCTAGGTTTTCTTACAATACTGCCTTATTTCTGTGGTTATTTCTGCTATTATTTCACACTCCCAATTCCATTCTTGAACTGAACCATAGCTGCTATTAGAAATACTTTAAACATTTCAACCCCTCTTTGGCTCACAAACATAATAGCTAGTAATTCATTGTGGGCACAGTTAATTGTAATTGCAAAACTACACCCACCTAATTAGAAGACAGCCTGAGGCAAAAATTGAACCGAGTCAAAATAATGGACTGATGTGAGCTTAAAATAACTTCATTGAACTAAGTAGATTTCAAGAGCTTATATCAGCTGAAGGACTGAGCCTCTAGTGGTTGCAGCAGTATTTTTAGCAGAAAGTGAAAGGAAATGTCTCAGTTTTCTTCCTTTTCTAGGCACATCATTTAAGCATTATATGCAAAGTGGCAGACCCAAGCTCTTGATCTGCCTGCAATGAAAAAGGCTAGAATAGTTACAGTGACAAGCCCTCAACTATAGATGCAGTTACCAGGAAGTTACACAAGCACAGGGGATTCTATAACGAAACCATGTTACATCTTTTGCTAGTAACAGAAATACCACTGAAGAAAAAGAATAAAAATCACAACCTCTACCAGTACTGATACACGGACAACTAGCCCAATCCACTACATCTGGACCAGCTGAACATAGGTTTTGTACGAAGTGCACTGCAAAATGCAATTTGACTCTGCTGAATGATAAAAATCTCCTTTGGGGCTAATACAGTCAGAATATGCACTGCAAGATCCCAGCTACGGGGCCCTGGTCCTCTAATTCTTTTCTGCCTTGCTTTTAGCTCAGAAGGTCCCTGGACCAGTCCCGAGTGGTTTTGGTACTTCAACACCTTTCAGAAATCACATAAAGCAGAAGTAGCCTTTGGTCTCTCAGCTTTTCTTCTAGCTGCCACAGGCAGTGCCAACGGGGCTTTTTAAACAGCTGAAAGCTAAGGCTTTGTACAGGTCACAACTCATTCAAAATCAGTACTTACTCAAGTGGGCAATGGCTGATGAAGTCATGTAAGGAGGGGTCCTCCTGGGCATAGTCACCTCAGATACAGCAGCGTAAGGGGAAGGCAATGGAAGACAGTGTGACACGGGCTGATACCACTGCTGTGGAGGACGTGTTGGTGGTTGGGAGGACGGGGAGGGAGCCTGGCCAAAGGAGCTGGAGGGGCTGGTGATGGTGGGCAGTAGGGAAGAGGGTGCAGCTCCTAGGTGTGGAAAGAAGGACCCATCCACACTTTTCACCTGGGTCCCAGAGGGGCCTAAAGCAATTTGGTCTTCAGGATGGCCATTCAGAGGTACATTTGCCAAGGACTCTTGGCTTGCTTTATCTCTGGGTCCCTTGATCCTCTCAGGCAGGGCAGGAATCAAAGGCAGGATGGTGGGACCTCGTGGCTGCAGGATATCACCCCCCTGCACAGGTGGTGCATTTGTAGCAGAGGAAGAAGACCAAGGAGAGCATGAAAGAGAAAGGCGCCTGAGAGGCTGGTGAGAGGCACAGGGGAAGCAGGAAGGATGGGGAGGTGGTGGAGACAGTGAGGTTCGCCTGATGCCTGGCATTACAGTCCTGAGGTTTGGGCAGGCTGCAGGGGGGGAACCTGGGCCTGTTGGCAGCTCGGAGGCTGAGTGCCTGTGCAGGAGCTGCGGTGTTTCTTTGGCTCTCCACAGGCGTCTGAAAGAGGATGGACTAGTAGGCTCAGGGACAGTGGGTGCCGAAGAGACAGCGCTGGCATGAGGTGGTGGTGGGGGCACAGCACCAGAGGCAGGAGCACCACAGTTACTGCAGGTGGGAGGAGGAGACTGGGGCTCAGAGTGGGGAGAGCACACGCTTATCTGATGGGTGGAAACTAAAAGAACGGAAAAGACAAATGAAACGAAAAAGATGGCTATGCAGCAGGAACGAAACCAAGGCAAAGCGGAACGAAGAAAAGGAACCGTGAAGTAAACGCAAACAGAAACTCAAACAAAGCAAAGAGGAGATGGTGCAGGCACCAGCTTGGGGGTTTCCAATCCTCAGCAGAACTGAGCCTGTGTGGAATGGGACCCTTGCAGAACAGGATGGGCTGCGTGCTCCAGTGCCAGCAAGCCTCCTCCAAGTCCCATGTGAATCTGAGTCAGGATCACGAGCATCACCCTTGCACCAGGAGAGCTGCAAGGGGTATGCTGAACACAGCAGTGGCCACCTCGTAGCCAGGGATGGAACAGCCAGAAGCCCCTGGGAGCCACATCCCTTTCCTCACAGATGATGAGGCAAGATTTTGGCTATGTTCCCTAAGCAGAATAGTACGCAGTAACCTCTGTCGAAACATAGGCCAAGAACTTCTGTTGCTGACTAAGGTATGCGGGTATGTCAGAGCCGGTTTCAAGCCAAAACCTAAAAAGTTGTAACAGCTGAGGGAAAATATTGCATTTATGTGGCCAGATTAACTGAAAAAAATTCCCCAAAACAAAAGCCCAAACACAAGATGGCCATCTTGGCTTGCTTGCTCTGCCTTCTTTCAGAGAGGCAAAGCCATACTTTGTTGTTATAAGCTATTCCTGTCATCTCTCAGCTCAGTGCAACTTAATATGCTATAGAAGATTTTTATAAGCTCATTAAATATATATATTTTTTCCATTAAGCTCACAGAAGACTCCTCACTTCATGACCACAAAATCCCCACCAGCGAGCATCTAGAGCTATATTTTCCTCTGTGCTGTAGTTTGCTGTGTGCACACAGCAGAGTGATGGGGAGCACCTGACCTGGCACATCCAGCACATCAACCGCTGTGCGCTGACATCCCCTGGAAACGTGGAGTCAGCTCTTGTGGTGGCTGTGTTATCTGCTCCCCTCATGGGTGTAGAAGAAGCACAGCCCTTGGTATGTCTAAAATCCCCCTCAGCTGTACAAGGTTTGTCAAGCGCAAAACCTGCCGAGCTCCACCCGATGCCCTGTACACGAGCCTCTGTGAAACCATGGCCAAATGTAGGTAAGTCTCTAGCTGAAAATGATTTGAAATCTAATTATAGCTATAACCACTTGTAGCAGTCTAGCTCTTACATAGCACCGCACAAAACCAACTACATCTAGAGGAGACAAGCAAGAAGAGACTTGGTTTGATACGTGCCTGTGGTAGAGGTTCTTCTTTCCAGAGATTCCTGGCGCTGTTGCTGTTGCTCCATCACTTGTCTAAAACAGCAATGAAAAAACCCTCAGTCATTATGTATTCTTTATAATTTTGAGTGAAAGCTTTATACATTGAGAAGCACTCAAGCTGTATGTCTCAGGTGGTGTGAGCCAGTCCCTCACAGAGACGCTGATACCTTGAAATGCAGGTGAGTTTGATTTCACTTGCCCTGGGAAGTATAACCACGACATTGCCCTGCACCTGCTGGACACGATAGGGGTCAGTCAATCCACTTAAGATAACTCTTCAATGTGCTCTGTGCGAGGAACTGTTGGTGCCCAAGGCCAGGAAAGCACAGCAGCCATGCGTGTTGTTAACTTGAAGTGCATGAGCATTGCAAGAAAAGAGTAAGGGGCATCTTGCATAAAATGACAGAGTCCTGAGTCTTTCATGATCAAGAGCCCAAAGGACTTACAGTAAGAATGAAAACATAAGGAAGGAGTTAGCTGCTGACGGTACAACACCAGCTTCACATTCAAGCCCTGCATTGGTGTTGCCAGCCTGGCTGCCAGCCCATGCCTCAGCACAGCCTCCCCTGGACCACAACCGCCCTGTTTCCTCCACAAATGAAAAGTTGATCACATCATTGCAGTGCTGCTTTTTGGGCACCTTATTCCGCAGGAGCTGCTAGCTCCTGTGCTCCCCAGACCTGGCGTCCCACAGAGAAATGCACTGCCAAGCCTTTTCCCTGGCTCCGCTTCCCAGAGATGTGCAGTTCCCAGGCGCTATCAGCAGAGGTCTTCTCTCGCACACTGCAACACTTCTGCAGAAGGAGCTGTACCTGACCCCTGGTACAAACCCACCCTGTCACTTCTCTTGTTAAAAAGATTGATAGCTAAAACCTAGAATATTTGCCAGGCCCTCTGCCGTGTGCATGGATGGACCAAAGGTTTCAACAACACTAAACCAACGCTGAAATTACCCTGCCGAAGCACTTCTTAAGGTTTCTTACTATTTTCTTCCATGGTTTCTAGGGTAAGTTTGCCTTGAATATATTTGATACAGCCTTAACTGCATAGAGATTTCTTTCTTCTGCAACAGCCCTACTTCATGGTCTCTATAGTAAGGCAACTCTAAGCAACATTCTATTTTCAGTCCTTACATAGTATTTTAGACAGATGTCCCTGTTACTTTTTTTTACTTGTCTCATCCCGAGTCTGCAATTTAAAAAAAAAAAATATTTATCTTATTTACACACCAAGAGCAGCTTTTTAAAAGAAAAAAGTCCACAAATATAAAGTTATATTAGGTAGGAAAAAAGAATGTCTTAATTTGCAAAACAAATTTCCCATATTTCAATTCTAATTCAATAGGTGGGAAAGGAAAATCCACGAGTTCACTGTGGAGGGTTCAATCCTAAAAAAGTTTTATGTTTAGGACGTGCAATCCATCAAATGTGGGCAATTTCTAAAAAACTATTCTAAGCATCTGAGAAAATTATTATATGTGCAAAGGGAGCACAGTGTTGAGAACAGTCTTAGCTGGCCGATTCAACTGGTTTCAATCAAGCTTTGACAATTTAAACCAAATAAATAGAAATCTTTACTTCAATACATACCCTGACTCTCATTTGATAGTTATGGGCTGAACACATGCAACAGCATCAACTGCACTGCTAAAATTTCAATTGTAAACACATGTACTAAGAATTACCTAAGCATACCCTATCTTAGCTTGGCATTTATTAGTGAAATTTTCTTGACACACAGATTTTCCATCTGAGACCTGAGAGACTTGGAAAACCCGAGCCTGACAGCCCAGCAAAGAAATGTGGGTAAGACATCTCCAAGTCATTACAGCTGCTGCAGAGCAGATAGAGGTGCAAGGTGCTCCCCAAAATAAGAGTGACCCACTGCCATCTGAAGTCATTGGCGTTCATGCCAGTCCTGTCTGCCCTTGGGCAGAAACAGTTTATATGTGCCTCCCACACTAAAGGAAAAAGGAGAAGTTCTAAAGTTTAGCACTAAAGAACTGCTAAAAGGAGAAGTTCCTACACTCTTAGAAGTGGAACTAAATAAAGTGGAACTAAATAAAGCCTGACATTGACACAAGGCTGCTTAAGGAGTATGCAAGGAGTAAAGTACAAGAGGGGACAAATTACACTCTGTCTTAAAAATATATTCTTCTAACATTTGTGTAAAGGTCTCTAAACCCCCTGTTAAACAGACAAATTTGCAGAGTAGTTACCGTAACTTAATTTCCTTGCCTGCTTATAAAATGTTCAAAAAAAGCTAGGCCTAAAATTAGTTCTGGTCTCTGCTTATAGAAGGCATCAGCATAATTAAAGCTGAAAATCCTCTAGTGCAGAAGCAGTGCATCTACTGGCATAGCTTATTCCAGTCCAGTGGAACAAAAGAGGCTTTCCGAGAACCATGTGCCCTGTAGCAGTGAGACAATACCTATATAAAAGGCTTCTACTGCCTCTAAACAAAAAATAATTTGTATTCCTTTTTTTTTCCTTTTACTAATGTAGTTAAGCTGCCCACACTTTAAATGTACAGACCAGACACCTAAATTTGGGGTCTGAGTTATGTATGGTCTGAAGAATCAGTGATTGCCAGTGGTTAAATGAAGAGCTGGATGAGGCCTTTCAGCCAGGCAGCAGGGACAGGCAGCATCCTCCACCTCCGGGTGAGCAGGAGCTCTCCTCTGACCCTTGTGATAGCTCTGCTGCCCCAAAGTACATCTTACAAATCTCGAGTGAAATACTGTTATCCACTGACCCATATGTAAATCCCTATGAAACCTTAGTCTTGGGATACTGCTGCGCCAGGCATTTCTACTGCTGCCACAGGAATCTGGCCTGAATCAGCAAAGCTGCAACGACACAGGCCTCATAATTTCATTATGGAGGCTCCTGCCCACCTCCCCTTTGACGTCAAGAAGAACAACTCTTAGCAGCTAGAGAAAGGGACATATGTGATAATGGCATGAAGTCTGACATAAGTGTAAAGGTGAAGGGTATGACTTTACACTTTCATTTATTATTTTGGTTTAGAGCAAAACATTCATAAAAGGCACAACATATGGTATAGAAGTAACCTCACACAAAATGTGCCTAAGCTATTACTCAGAGTGCATATAGTCCACCAGATGCTCCTTGGGCAATATGACTGTCAACTGCCAGCAGATGATCCACAACAGGATAAGGTTAGGCTTTCTTAATATGCTTGAGAAACACACACTCTACAAATCTCTTTTAAATGTGTTTTGTCTTTAACTCTGAACATTGCTTGCTTTTGAGCAAAGTTTACCTAGAGCTTCAGTTCACCTCACCCTTTAAAAGCCAATACAGAATCATTAACAATAATTGCAGAAAACATAGAATCAGCTTAAAATAGATACAAGTAAAAGGAACAGTGCTTATTGGTGAGCAATAACTGCACGTTCATCCAAGTTACAAACTAGAACTCTACCATAATTGTTTAACTCACCTTCTTTGTGCTTCCATCTCGTCTGGAGATGGCCCATTCTGGACCTGGCGCTGGGCAGCTGGACCTGCAGAAAAAATGAGAGAATGCTATTATGAGAGCAAATGTGGCTGACTTTTCCAAAAAACAGTGCCACTGTGCCACTCAGAGCAATTGCTTTGCCATCTTACTATGAGAGAAACACCTCAAGAATTATTATCCTCTTTTGACTTTTCGTTTAATTTTTTCCTATTACACAAATCATTGCCTCCTATAAATTTTTAGTCCCACTGGGAGAATCTGATTGCTAAATGTGTAAGCAGATTTGTCCAGAAACTTGGCATAATAGAAACTGTAGGCTATGTACTAACCCCTTGGAGATGGTGAAGACCCACAGTGTTGCAAAAGATGCCCTGTGGAAAGACAGTCCATCGCACTGGGATGCATTTCTAGCTTCTGCAGGGTTCAGATCCCTGGTTTATTCTGTGCTTGCACAGTGATTCAGCCACAGTGCTGAGTTTATGAGCATACATGCTAGCTAGTGCTGCTTTGAAGCTGAGCCAGCTGATGCTGACGCTACCTGATGGAAGGTGTAAGGAAATGAAAAATTAAACAACTGTGGTACAAAGGTGGCTTTTCTTTTTCCAGTGCTGTCAGTCTTCTGCTTCTGCAGCATCCACATCAAGGGGAGCTTTCACTGGTATTCACCAACAAAACCCAGCTATGCATGTCACCCTTTAAGTCACATCTCCTCTCTTAACTCTGATCATTTAATCTCTGTTCTTCGACATTTAATCAAACATACTGACACTACATGCTATTTTCAGAAAGAAATATTTATTCGGAAAATAACAGTAATTCTTGTTAACATAAGATAGAGTGATCTTGCATTTGGAGGAAGGAGGATTGTTCCATTGATTTGACGAGGTGGGTTTCAAGTGGGACTAAACATGAGAGCTCAATTAAATGCAACTGCAATTTTCCTGATAAACAGCACTGAGAAATAGATCACTTATATGCTTGAAAGTATTATGTCTACTTTATTTCTTTCATTTTCAAATGTAAAGTTTCATCCTTTTAAAACTTATCCAACAAGAATTAAACACAAACCCAAATATGTCACTCACAAATTTTTAAGGATATTTCTCTCCAATTTCTTTGTATGTTTCTGCCAGGCAGAATGTCATCTGAAAACAAATTTAGAAAGTATGACTGTGTGAAAACTGGCAAGATGGCAGAAATTCCAGAGCTGACTGATCCTGAAGAAATTGTGCTTATTTTTGAAATGTGTTCAAGGACTAACATTTCCAGAAAGGGAACACAGCATTTTCTGAAAGTAGGGCCCATGTATTCCAGTTTTGGGTATTCCAAAAATGGAGCCAGTGACAACCACTGAGTCCAAAGCTCCGACATTTAAAAATACCTTTGGATTGGGTATGAAGTAAAGACAGTTCCCTTCTTTTATGTCTCATGACTGACAACTTAATATCATTTGCCACAGGCCTTAGGCAAACTGTTTAGACAGAAATGCCACGTTTCGTAAAGATCACACAAAACAATGAAGGCAGGGTGGGTGGTTTTTTTGGAAGCAAGCCTCAGGAAAGAAACTTTGCAGGTGTTTGGGAAGCACAGAGCAGGAGGCTCACATGTTTAAGGTGTAACCAGGATGTCATGTTACTGTGTGAATGCTTGTACTGTGCATCTTCACCACTGAAGAGAAAGAATGCCAGAGCTACCTCTGAGCAGCAGTTAACGTGTATTTAAACAACTTGTGAGTTCAACAGGAAGACAGGTAAGGAATTGGTCCAGACTCCCCACAGTTATTACTGTCACCGGTTTGGACCCTGGCTCTGGTGTGTGCAGGTAACACACACATTCACATACACATACCTGTGAGATACTTCAATAAACAGACTTCTGGGTGAAGGATGATCAAGGCTTAAGTCAGTTACACTTTCCTCACTGGGAACTAATTCCACCATGAAAAGCCTTAGCCATGATCATCACTGCATATGATTTAATCACAAAATATTTCCTTTGTATAAAGACTCAGAGTGTCATACAGAAGATGGCACCCTGCTTGGAAAGAGGGATAAAGGTAGGCGACAACGTGAAAGATCAGAGGATGATGCAGCAGAAACAACAATTATTCCCTGGCTATAAATCATGTCAAAGTGTATAGGACGCTCTAATGATGCCATCTTAATCCAGTACTTTGGCATGAGTCTTCTCTTGGGGCCAAATGCCCAGAAAAATAAGGCAGTGTGGCCAGTTCGACTAACACTAGACACATAGAAGGAATCAAAGACCAGACTATCAACACCATACAAAAAATCCAACTTCTTTTTCCTGGGGGCACTGTCATGAATTAGATATATGGGTTGTAAACCAAACAAACCCAACCAAAAAAAAAAAAAAAAAGGAAAGGAAAGAAGCTACTTAATACCTGAGTCAGTAAATAATTGCCATTTGAAAATGCTTTGTATAAGTGGTGACAAATATGCAGATATTTTTATTTGCACATAAATTTAAAAAGTCGGACAAATTTTCAGATGCACAGGGTACATGAATGTATGGCCCCCAAAAAGCCTTAATTCTTTCACCAATATCTTCAGCATGTGTGAGAGACTGAACTGAACTAAGACTCCACCATCCACTGTCTCAAAGATTGGTATGAGAAGCTGAGGTCCACTATCTTGAAGATGGGTGGGAGGAGCTAAGACTCCACTGTCCATTATCTCAAGGATTGGTGTGAGGAATGGCTGTCCATTATCTCAAGGATTGCCACAAACATGTGCAGTTGAAAAGCTGGCTGCAAGACGAGCAAAACTGGTCCACCGGGAGCATGCCATACAAAACATCAAGAACAGAAGTACTCCCCCCAACGCATAATAAAAGGGGAAACGGGTAATTGCCATGTGAGACACCCTCCACCGATGACAACTATGGACCCTGGGGGACTCTGGGTGGAGAAGAGATTCAAAGCAGCCCTGTTGATGAGAAACTCGGTAACATGAGCAGGCAGTGTGCGCTTGCAGCCCAGAAAGCCAACCGTATCCTGGGCTGTATCAAAAGAAGTGTGACCAGCAGGTCAAAGGAGGTGATCCTGCCCCTCTACTCTGCTCTTGTAAGGCCTCACTTGGAGTATTGTGTACAGTTCTGGTGTCCTCAACATATAAGGGACATGGAGCTGTTGGAGCAAGTCCAGAGGAGGGCCACGAGGATGATAAGAGGACTGGAGCACCTCCCGTATGAAGACACGCTGAGAAAGTTGGGGCTGTTCAGCCTGGAGAAGAGAAGGCTGCGTGGAGACCTCATAGCAGCCTTCCAGTATCTGAAGGGGGCCTACAAGGATACTGGGGAGGGACTCTTCATTAGGGACTGTAGTGGTAGGACAAGGGGTAATGGCTTTAAACTTAAACAGGGGAACTTTAGGTTAGATCTAAGGAAGAAGTTCTTCACAGTGAGGGTGGTGAGGCACTGGAATAGGTTGCCCAAGGAAGTTGTGAATGCTCCAACCCTGGCAGTGTTCAAGGCCAGGCTGGATAGAGCCTTGGGTGACATAGTTTAGCGTGTGGTGTCCCTGCTCATGGCAGGGGGGTTGGAACCAGATGATCTTAAGGTCCTTTCCAACCCTACCTATTCTATGATTCTATGACTCCTAGCACCAAAGACAATGACTATGGAGCCTCGGGACGCCACTGGATCCACGGGATCCACTGGATCTGCACTCTGAATGCTTGCTTAATTCCTGTAATTTTTTCCAATCTGTCCTATCACTATCTCTTTTTTAGAATAATGTCCTTTTTTATAATAATTGTCTTTCTATAATAAACAAACTGATCAATTGTGGTACTTGACCTCGTTTGCATCTTAATTTCACTCTGGGGATCATGAATAAAATAGGTCCAACACTGGGTTTTCTCCAGTCAGACCCTGACATGTAACAAGTTTTCTGAATAATGACCAATTCCTCTTTTACAGGTTTAGATTTCTTACTTAAATCAACACACTGCAGTAAACTGCATTCATTTATTTAAATCTTTTCCAAACTCATTTTACTTCTATTTCACTAGTGACCAGTAGCGAGAAGTAAACTGTCTTCACTTCATACCCCAACCTAAGGTATCTTTAATGTCTTCTTTTGCACATTAGTCTTGTTTAACACAATTTTCTTCTCCAAGTGCTTTAGCAGTGAAGTACATTAACAAAGTTGGGAGGCAGAAAAAGGCAAGCATGAACAGAAGAGCAAGACTGAAGCTGTAACAGGTAGCTTGTCCTCTCTCCTTTGTAAAACAAGAAGCAATGGAGTAAAAGTTGGCAAGATAATGCTACCTGAGGAAAAGCCTAGACCACCTGCAGAGGTCAGCCTCAACCTGTGGGAACAGGGATACCTGTTTGTATTGATTGGAAGTGGTTGGAAAAGAGTTTGAGGCAAGTTGCATGTGGATACAGGGTGTTCAGGGCAGTCACACCCAAGTCGGCTTACAGCTCTTCTTGCCACCAGTGAGGAAACATACCAGTTGTGTTTGGCACTGGTTGTTTTACTTGAGTTACTCATGGCCATAAGATATAATTCCTTCCAGTATCCTGCTTGTGATCTTATTCAAATGAATAATTTTTCTATAGTAACATGAAACCTTAATTTGCAAACCCTAAAGAAAAAGGCAAGATGCTCTCTGTTTTGGCTTGCCCTGATTTTGCCTGAGGGTGGGCAGTAAATCTAAAAGTCCAACCCAAGCTTTCACGTCTGTTCATTGCCAGAAACATAAATTCTGCTAGATTTCCCTCCCATCTCAATCCTGACTTCTCAGCAGACCCAGGCACACCATCATCTAATGTGAATTCTGCAAACGACTTCAATCTCTGTAATGGTGGAGCTTCTTGTTTATCTCATCCTTGAATTTGCTTTTAGCATGCTCAGCCAAAGCTCATACTGACACTGAAAGGCAGGGTTTATTTTTATGCTTGGTTGTCTATATGTATCCTCTGCAGTGCACATACAGCAGGTACCTGTTTGACAGAGGGTTTTTTAAATGTGAGTGGACTTCTAGGTTTAACTCCTCTCCACATTTTTTAGCTGTTTCT